CCCGCCCCGCCCCCCTCAGGCCGAGCCGCGGTCGCTTCTAGGGTCGGTTTTATTTAATAAAATAAAGTACAGCGATCATCCGGCGGGGGACCGGCGTCCCGGGGGCATGGGGCACTCCCGCCGCTGCCCCGGCCCGGGGACAGCCCCCCCTCCCCGGGCTGGCGATTCTACCTGGCGAGCGTGTGTGACCGGTACCGAGCATGCGGCCACCAGAGCTGCGGGCCCCGGTGAGCAGCAGAGGAGCATGCGGGCGGGCTGCGGTGCCCGAACTAGCTAGGGACCCCCGGGGGAGGCCGGGCTGGGCAGGCAGACGGTGGCACGAGAACCGGTGATGGGGAGTACAGAGTAGTTGGTGTGGGGAGGTGGCGGGCGCTGCCCCGTGCAGCGCGAAGTCAGGGTGCCCAGCAGCGGAGCAGCCAGCTCAGTTGGAGGAGAGCAGGGAGCTGTGGGAGGACAGGTCCATGCTGCTGGCGCTCAGGCCTCTGCTCTCCGCACGGAGGCCTTGGGTGCCCTGGAAAAAATACAGTACCCATGAGGTAAGCACCTGCACTCCACCCCCATGCCCGAAAGCTGCCACCCCAGCTCCTGCACCCCTTGCCTTGCAAGCCAGGACAGCCCTGGTGCTGCTGTCACACACAGTAGCTGCTGCCTTTGCTCCCAGTCTACGGCTGAGCTTTGTGGGGAGGAAGGTGGGTACCTGGAAGCAACATCTTCAGATTTGGTGCTCTGACCTCAGACGAAGAGCTACAAGCCAGGGCTTCTCAGCACTGCATCCTTGGGCCCACTAATATGCCTCTCACCCCCTGTGCCACTGGCCACAGCCCCCAGCACCATGCACAGTCCTGTACCAGCCCCACCACTCACACTGTGCTTACCTCAAACGAAGCATCACTAGACTTGTGCAGGTAATTTAAGGACGCAGCTCGTTTCATGCTATAAAGAAGCAGAGGAGAGCAGATGTGATTGTGCTGTGTTCGGTCAGACCCAGACACACAAGGTGTCAGGGCCCCCATCTGCCTGGTACACAGCCTGACCCTCACACGTACCTGGTGTTTCTAGGCTCCAGGGGACCATTGCCCTGCAGTTTCTTGACCAACATCTCACTGCTCCTCCGTATCACATCCCGGATTTTTCCCAGAGAGCTGCTGCGCTGGAGAGTGCCACTGCCATCCTGGACACAGAGACACAAGCCAGGGTGATGGCTGAGTGGCACTGATCAGGCTCTGGCATGCTGCTGATGAGTGGCTGGAACTGGCTCCAAACATCCTCTTGCCCATGTGCACTGAGGGTATAGCCCTGGCCCAGAGCAGGCTTACTGCTCACTACATGGCTTCCCCTCACCTGGTTCTCCACAGGACGTGATAATCGTGGAATCAGGGACCCCTGCCGCTGTTGTCTGGCTCATCCAGCCTGATAAGCTCTCCTGCCCAGTGCAGGTTGCTGACTTGCCCTGGGCTGCCAGCACAAATGGCACTGGCATCTGCACAGTCCTGCTCAAACATGACACAGCTGCATCACCTGCAACAGCTCAGGCAGCAACTACCAAGGCGGTCCCAGTGGCCAGGGAGGCAACAAGGGAGTCCCAAGATTAGGGATGCTTTTGTCAGGCCAGGACAGGCTGCTGAGACTTTCATTTCAAGGACTCTCATTTGCTGCTGGCTGGAGACCATCCTCATCCTCCCCCTCCCCTTGCCCTTCTTCACCACACCATCACCATTCCTCCTCTCTGTCCAGCACTCATACAGATGCACGCCTTGGTCCTGCAGGCTCACTCACATCACACAAGATCATTTCACATTGCACACACAGCCTTGTCCCAACTCTAACAGCCCCAAGACAATTAGCTTTAGCCTTTGGAGCAATTCAGGCAGCTCCACTGGGGATGGATTCATTTGGCTGCACCAGCACTGTGTTGCCAAGCAAGCACCACTTCACTCCTAGGCCTCCCAACTTTAGCTGCATGCAGCCCCACTAGCTACCCTAGGGGTGGCACTTTACAGGGGGCTTTTTATGTCTGCCTGCTTTGTCAGAAGACCAAAACCAGCCTGAAATCTTGTTGCTCAGCCTGTTTCCTCCCACATGCTCCAAAGTCCCCAGTACTCAGTGAGGTACTCTCAGCCCTTGACAGGCTCCAGTCCACCTCCTGCACTTTGCTCCACATGCATGCAAGGCACGAATTGCCAGCATGACACCACACCATGCCACCGTGTCATCATGCCACCAAGCTGTTCTCCTGTGGCCTGGCCTGCTTGTGACACCACTGCTGATGTGGAATTACTTTTGCTCCGCTGGCCTGATAACACCAGTCTTCCCTGCTCCTGCTTTGAATGGCCCCTGGAACACTGGGGCAGAAGAAACAGGTAAAGTGACGGCAAAAGCCCTTTTACTCCTTACAAAGATGTGAGGGAGCCCCTTTGAAGCACTCCAAATGACCAGAATGCCTTGTGTCTCAGGCTAGCAGCAGCAATTACCTCAGCACTGCCCAAGCAGCTCTGCAGGTAGGCAGGGTCTCTGCCTTAGGCCACTCACCCCCCTTGTGCTGACCATTACAGATTGTGGCCCTTGGGGAAGGCTTTTCCAGCACTCCTCTGCTCTGATTACCCAAAGCTGATCCAGCCCTAGATTGTTGTCTAACAGCTGACCAGGATTCTTCCTACCAGCAAACCCTTCTCCTGGTGTTCATCTCATCCCTTCTTGGATAAAACAAGTGCATTGAACCTCTTCACATTCTCACTGGGATGAGGGTCTTCCAAGTTGAGAGCCATGTGTTGCTGCTGCAAAGGGACCCACTCACCAGAAATGCAGAGAGCACCCAAAGCAGCAAAGTAAACAATTCAATTTCTGCATGAGGCATCCCAGGCAGGTTTTGGATTAGCTGAACATCAAGTGTGAAGCAATAGCAAAGATGCAGAGGTGTCTTTTGCCTCCCCACCAGACTTAAACTGGGTCACCAATCTCCCTGCAAGGTACTGCTATACCAGGCACTGTTGCTTTTCCCAGGGCACATAAACCAGGGGTGGAAGAGGGAACACAGCTGGGACAGGGGAGCAGGACCATGGTACAAGGGCAGCAGGATCAGGCCAGGAAGTATGCTCTTATATATCAGGGCTGGAGGATGGAGCCACATTTTCCCAGCTGCCGTGATGCAGACTGACTGCAGACCAACACCAGAACCAAATGCTGCTGCATGCTGGGTTAAAAATAGCCTCTCTTCTCCCCCCACTCCGTTTTCTGACGGGTTATTTTTAACCCAGAACATTTATGGGTTTGGTTTGCCGCAGAGCCCCCACCCCATTGCACCCACCAGGATGAGAGCATTCAAAAAAAAAAAACCAAGCAGCTCCACCACTGAGCTCCTCTCCACTGCATGCTCCCAACCCTGCCTAATGCATGGAGGCAGAGGACTTGGGCAGGATTTGGCAGCATGTAGAACTCAGCACTGAGGGACACAATGGGGTATTTCTTTGGCTAAACAGAAATGCCTGTTTGGGGAAGGTCCAAGCTCAGTTGCCCCAGGACTGCCCTGCCACACATGGTTACAGAGCTGAGGTTGCTGCTAGCAACTCCAATTTGGAGGACAGGGAAAAGCACAGTGGAGCTGGGTCCTTCATCTCCAATGCTCAGCCTGGAAGAGGTGCCCTGGGGGCAGCACATGCCCCTGTACACACACAGACAGACACCAAGCACCCCCAAACCTGCTCCAGCAGCATTTGCACCCACCGCCCCGGGGCTGACCGACGCTGGCCTATAGAGCATGGAAAGAAGCACAGGGCAGCAATTTGGGTCAGTCTACCTTTAATTAGAGGTATGGTTGTTACAGCACCAGGTCCAGGACATGGCAAAGCACAGGGGCAGGTGGCCCTGAGGTCCAAACACACCCTGCACCGGGAACTCACCACTTTCCAGAAGCATGGAGGCAGGGAAGGTACAGCCCTGCAGCACTCAGCCCTGGGATCCACACCCCATGATCCTGGGACAAGCTTCCTTTCAGTAAGCACAAGCTCCCAGGAGAGCAGCATGCATATACCCCAAGGCTCTGCACCACCACAGGAAAGCCAGGCCCAGACAGACATAAGCACATTTAGTATCACAACCTGCCAGCTAACTAGCATAAAGAAAGGATCTAGCTAAATAAATAAGGAGGAGTCCTGTGCTGGCCCCTGGGCTCTATCTAGCTGCCTACAGCCTTCCCAGCTTTCTTGCCAGATATGAGAGCCAGGGAGGTTCCCCTCCTATAGGAGGCAGGGTGACAGTGTACACTCAAGGATGTGAGACCCAAGACAGTGGAGGTCTGGCCCTGGGACACATTCCATATCCCAGTAATGACTAACAGCACCAGACCCTGTGAAGGCCTGAAGCCATCAGAGGCACTGAGCCACTCCCACACCCACTCATGGTCAGCACTGTGACCCTGTTGGTAACAGGGTTACACATTTCCCACCCACTTGGCTAGGGACAGCCAAACTGCAATCAGCCCCACAGAACTGAGAGCAATCCAGCCCCTACCCCTGCAGCAACGTCTCTCCAGCCATCCCATCTGCTCCCACCTGCTCAGAACACCTCCAGCCCTAGCCCTTTGCTTCCTTACATCTGTCTTTGTACCTTCTTTTTCTCCCAACCACTCTGCTCCAATCCAGGCCATTCCCCATCTCAGCCACTTCTAACGGTCTGGGGTCTCGCAAAAAAACTCTCCTCCTATCTCCTCCTATCCCTCATCTGCTTTCAAGGAACAGCAAACAACTTCACCCCCACTTCTCCCACCAGCCACACTTCAGAACCCTGTAGCAATGGGGGGCTAATTCACCCCTTGATGCCAGATGAGGAACCTGGCTATAGCATCCAGTCAGGAAGTCACAGCCAAACATGCTTGTGCTGGCCAGCTCCTGTACACAGTCCTTGGCTGTTGCCCCCTCACCTCATCTTGGATGTACAGTAGCTCTATGGACTGTCCTAGACTCCTGTGCCCCTGCAGAGAGACCCACACACTGCTCCTGGGTTACAGAGCTCAGCAGGGAGGAGGGGAGCAAGATGGGGACTACCCCGTGCTGCAGGGAGAGCCCATCCCACTGGGAGCCAGCACAGGTTTGCTACAAGGCACTAATATCAGCTAAGCCTACAGGGAAGAAAGCAACTGGGCACATGACAGCCCTGCCTAGGCCAGGCCTCACTGACCCATAACAGCCCTCCATCTTCGAGCCTCTGTAGAGATGGAGGGAACAAGCTAGGAGGGCTGAGGATGTCTACTGACAATGGAGTCTGTAAGCCTGGAGTGAAGACAATCCCCTGCAGGCCCAGGCCCCAGGGATGTGCAAGGGCAGGCCAGGGGTGGGGGCATGCAAGGGGATGGTGGCTCATCACCCTGGCCTGGGGGAGCTGGCAGCTCCTCGCAGATTCTTCCTGCTCTTGCTGGCCACGGGACTGGAGCTGGGCCATGTGGCCAGGCACTCCTCTGCAGGCGTCGCGGTGCCCTCGCGCGCCAGGAGGGTTGGGGGACTGGCGTGGAGCTCTCGCCGAGGAAGGAGGGATGGTGTGGAGGAAAAGTCGGAAGATACAACACAAACATCCAGGTGACTGCGGTGGAGGGGAAAGGGAGTCTCGGGAGGCATTTAAGCCTAGTGCACAGAGAGGAGAAAGACACAATTTACAAGGCTGTGAGGTTGTAGGTCACCTAGGGAGCAGGTGGGACAAGGCCCAGGCTGCATGCAGAGACCACAGGCCACTTCTGGGCAGGGAAAGAGTCTTGTGAAACTGAAACTGTGGCCTCACTTTGCTAGTGGACTTAGTGGACTGGCAGGAACAGCTTAGCTCAGGGAGGAACAGCCTGGGTCTTCTGCTCCAAGGGCTCCCTGCTCCTGGGCCTTGGGTACCCACCAAGGCCTCTGCACCCTGTTCTCACATCCCAATTACCTGGGCAGCAAGCAGCTGGTCCAGGCCCTGAGGTGCTTCCAGAGCTGCCTATGGGCACAGGGCACCCTGGGGACTCCCACAGCCCTGCCTGCAGCAGAGGACAGCTAGGGGAGGGCAGCAGAGGCTGCTTTAAGGCAGCACATCTGAGGTCTCTGGACCAACACAGAAAACAACAGGCCATGATGGACAGGAGCAGCAGGAGCTGCCTCAGCCTTCTTTTGCAGAGAGCTTCAGTACAGGGCAGGGCTGCTGGCTCTGAAGAGAAGACTGGCTATGTGTACAGTAGGCTGGAAAAGGAATCATGTGGCAGCAGCTGTGTCCCCCAGGGTGCTGGGCTAGCCCTCAAATCCTCTATTTACAGCTGTCTGGGTCAGGGAAGCTCTGCTAAGACCCCTGGGGAAGGGTCATATGAGCAGGGACTATTCCCTGATTCTGGCTGTGGGAGAGGGTGGCACTACCTACTTGCCTTAGGATGATCAGCTCAGAGACTGCCAGGAAGGTCTCCCAAACCATCACCAGTGCAAAGAGATCACCCAACACCAAGCACAGTCAGAAGGAGCTGCAGAAAGACACCAGCCAGCATAGGGACCAGGTGATTCTAATCCAAACCTGCAGCCCTCCCCTCTGTGCTTGTCTTGCTTCCTTACTAATGGTGAGTGCAGGGGCCTAGAGCTGATGATTAGCCAGAGCTAAGACCTTCTTTGGTCCTGATGCAAGACTTGGGGCAAAGGACAGCCTTGCATCTGGTAAAACTGCTGGGTCTGTTTTTCAGATCCCGTTCAGCCACCTCCTACGTACAATCCACAATCAAGAGAGCCAGCAGGCTTCAGGCTTTGAGTGTTGAAGGGCTGTCATGGCAACAGGGAAGAAAAAGAGGAAGGGAGGGAGCTCATGCAAGTGGGGATAGAGCAGAGCCAGGTGGGGAAGGGTTAGTGACAGCAAATGTAAGGGGGCAGCGAAGGACTCTGTGTGCTCAGTGCCTTTCCTGTGCCAGGTTACAACAACCCCAGCTACTCTATGCTCTCAGAGTTTGCAGAAGGAATGTAAGCATTAACAGCCCGTGAGCCAAGCACCCACCAGCACCATGCTCACTTGCTGCCTCTTCTCCATCCTCCTGCTTGCAGGAGACAAAAGGCACCTCTTCCAGCCCTACATCACTACCTTTCTCCAAACTCAGTGCTAGTGACCAAAGTCACCCTCAGCCTCAGAGCAAGCCTAGACAGGTTCAGGTTGCCCTGTCTGTTCCTCAGTTAACACCAGTCTCTTGCCTCCACTGGTCAGCCCCCCCCTCCCATTCTGCAAAGACCTGCCTTTTATCCCCTCTGCTTGGCCAGAGCCTGCTGAGGGCATGAGACCAGGAGAGTGGGACAGTAAAGATGCTGGCTACTGACTATTCCTGTGCCCTGCAGTCAGTCAGTCAGTCAGTCAGTCAGTCAGTCACAGACACACCAGGCATATCACACACACACCCCCCTGCCCAGGTTCAGCATCATCAGTGGCACAGTGCAGGACAGACAGCCAAAAGGCTCTCACAGGCTGGGTGAGCCCGAGATGGGGCTGATGCTCTCAGCCAGGGCTTCCAGAGGGGAGCAGCAGGGAGAGATGTTAATAAGGTTACAAGCCTAAGATTAAGGGCAGACCAGGACCAGTTCATGCTGCACACTGCCAGGGCCTGGCGGCTCCCTGGAAGCAGGAGCCCTCAGCTGGGAATATCTGTTCTGTATACCAGAAGCCAGACCCAGACACGCACCTTTGCGGGCTGGCTGGCTCATGCCAAGAAAGGGGAAGGAAATGTGCAGGGAATGAATGGAGGCAGACAAGGATGCCACGACAGGCCACGCAGGGACAGCCCTCAGCCAGGCTGTCCCTTCCCTCTGGCAGCCGGCTGAGGCCATTCTTGATGGTGTCTTGTACTTACCCCGCTCCATTCCACGCCCATACTCACTTCCTCGCTACCGTCTGTGGCATTCTCGTACTTGACGCTGCCCCCCAGGCTCCGATGTCTCTCTGTGCCATCCCCCTCCTTCAGGATCTCCACCACCTTCGTCTGGTTGATTGGGTCAATGCCCTGCAAGTAGGAAAGGATAAGGAAGAACCGTGTTTTGTCTTTCCGTGTTCCTTCCCTCTAGAGATCCACTGTGCCATCATTGTGCTTGGCTCCTGTTACCTCTCTTGGCCACTGCCCCATCACAGCCAAAACTGCCCAGCACAACCAGGATGGAGCCAAATGCCATCCTGCATTTAGCAGTCTCTGTTTGAACTCCCAGCTCAGTGAGTCCCCACAAGGCCATAACCAACCCTGCGGAACAAGGGCTTGCTACCCCAAAGCTGACAGCTGTTTTCCTTCACATTTTGAAGCATGAAGGATTCAGCTGTCCTTCAGTCTTGTGCTAGGTGCTTACAGCTCCTGCTTTATTATTTGAGGATTTAGAGGAGTTTAAGGCAAGAGGAACTCTAAGAAATTCTAGGTATTTTTTGCCTCTGGACAAAAAAATTAGGGTGAAGGAAACATCCCAGTAGGCGTAGTTCTCCCCAGTAGCTGACAAATCCAGTAACCTGCCTTAACCAGCTGCAGTATTTCTGCACCCAGTGAGCCATGCCTTCCCCACACATGGACATCTGCTCCATCCACACACACACGCGCCACTCCACACACCTACACACATGTGGACCTCTACACAAATGCATCCCCAAATACCAAAGCCCTCTGGTGTCATGGGAACATAAACAAAGAACATCAGAGAGGCCCAGGAGAGTTCCTCACCACACCCTAACCAAGGCAGTGCCATAACATGCCACCCCAAGCCCTGCAATGCCCTCCACACCAGGGAAGGTCCCTCTGGGGTTACCTGTCGCCGGGAGCGAACCGCACACTCCTCCAAGGTCTCGGCTGCCTCCAGCTTGCCCTGGCGCCGGTACAGCGCACCCAGGTTCCTCAGAGTGGTGTTCACAGTTGGGCTGTGGTGATAGAGGGGAGGTGAGCAGGAGCCCTCTGGTCACCCCTCTAGAGTCCACAGCTGCCCCCAAACCAGCTCTTACCTGCTAACCTTACAGGCCTTGTACCAGCCACCATACTCAGCATAGGGAGCGCTGTCTCTGTGCTTGCTCTACAGGGTGAGGAGAGAAGAGAGCTGTTAGTTCCATACCTACTGCCCTTCTCTGGCCTGTGCTCTGCCACTGGATGCCAGGGTCAGACCCCAGGCTGCACCCCTGCACCAGCTCAACCTCTGGAAACACAATATGCAAATGCAGTGATGAGGCCCAGCAGTTTCCTGGTAGTAAAGTTAAATGTGTGTTTGCTGCAACAAGATTTGGGCCACAAGCAAAAGTGATATCCTAGTTTCAGGAAGGAGCATAATCCCACCTCCTTACTGTCTTCCATGGTATCAAAGGCAGCAGGGACAACACAGCCTATTCTCATGGCATAACGGAGGGCATGACACCCCAACCAAAACGCAAATGGAAGACAAAACCCCACAGACATGCCAGTCTCCATGGGCACTAAATCCTCAGCCAGGGGTACCAAAGGAATCAGCCAGCCACATCCCAGCCTTTGGCCTACAAGGTCAGGCTTGCCCTACAGCAGCTCAGCCCAGTTAGCTATCCCTTCCCCATGCCCAGCCAGCTGCAAACGGGCTGCCAGCCAGAGCAATAGCACAGGGCACAGCTTGATGCTCAAGAAGGAAGATCTGGACAACCCACACTCCAGGGAAGTAGCTGCTAGCCCTGGGTCTGTAGGACCACGACACCAAGAAGGTGCAGGGAGCCACTGCTCCACAGCATGAGTTACCCTCTAGCCCAGAAGAAACTCTCTCTGTGGGGACCATTTTTCTCACTCACTCCCACAGCACTTTTCAGCTCTTTATCCCACATGCCAGTTTCCCTGTGCCATAGGCACATGTAGTTTGCTTCACACCAGAGCCTACACAGCCTGGGCAGGCACCAGGGACAGAGGATGCCTGCTGATGGCATGAACTCTGCTGCCAGGAAAGAGGGGCAAGGGACAAAAGCTCTGTCAGAGGAATTTAATACATTTTAACAGAAGATATGGAAACAGCACAAGGCAGAGCACATCAACCCCAGCTCCTGGGCCAGGAATACAAGCAGGTCTGTGACTACTGCTGCTGCCTGGACAGGAATGCCAGCCCTGCTTGGGGCACAGGCACAGCTGCCTTGAGGACAGGAGTCCCAGAGTCAGGGAAAGAGACTTAGCCCTTGCCTGAGACTCACATGTAAAATGAATCTAGTACTCCAACTGTGAGTCTCAGCCTGCTCCCTTGCCCCATGGCAGAGCTTGCATTATCTGGAGCATAGCTTCATACTATACCTATCTACATTTGACCCCTAAATTCTCCAAAGACACCATCAGAAGAGTCTCAGTCCCAGACAGGGCAGGGGAACCCAGACTCTACTCCAGCTTGGATTTCTCAAGGATGGTGCTGCAGCAAGAGCAGATTCTTCGCAGCAGAGCCCTTGCAGTACAGCGCCCACAACAGTGTAAAGCTGAGCAGTGCCCTGTGCTGGGAGCCATGTAGAGTGGTTCAATGGGGAGGCACAGGATACTGTGGAAAGCACCTGCCACTGCCCTGCTTCTAGGGCTGCTTTTAGGATGGGACTCACAGTCACTAAGTCAAGCCTGCCCAACTGTTGCCTGAACCCTGTAGGGTTGGGGCCGGCTCTGAGGGCAAAAGAAGAGACCCACTGCAGGTACAGGACTAGATCAGAACCCTTCATTCTGCTGCTTCACCCACCTGCCAAAAAACAAACAGGGCCTTACACTTGGTGAAGACACAACTGCTGCGTTTACTGACCACAGAGCAGGGCCTGAGCTGCAGGAGCAACAGTAGCTTTGCCTTTTAGCCTGGTCCAAGGCAAGCACAGTCCATTTCTATCCTCTTTCAGAGGCCAGCTAGGGCCTGCCCTGTGCAAAGACCTTTTCCAGATATGGCTCCATTTCCTAAGCAAGGTGACAGCAGCAGTTTCTTCTTGACTTCCATTTTTCCCTAGAGCCTTAGAGCTTCTTCAGAAGCCACTTGTGCTCTGGGTACTGGCAGCTCTTCCGAACAGAGTGCCAAGGCCTAGCAGCACAACTCTCTGCCATCTGCCATCTTCCATCATCTGCATGCCCAAGAGGGATCAATCACTAAAGCAGAGAGAGCATGCAGCCATGGCAGAGAGACTGAACAGCCCTGCCCAAGATAAAACACCGTGCTCTCTGATGGGCCTTCCCTCCCTGCCGGCCCAGGGAGCAGCAGTGCTGTACCCCCTCTCCAGACACCTCCTGGCCTTGGCAGCTCTTCAGACTGCAGCTTCTCCAGGAAGAAGGAGATAAGAGAAAGGGTGTAATAAGAGAAGATCAAATCCCCTGGGATCAGACTCACCTTGCTCATCTCCTCTCTCTCCTCTGCATGCATCCAGATTGGCTTGTGTTCATCTGTGTGGGGAAGAGTGCAAAACAGGTCCACTCACCACCCCATGCTGTTCTTTGCCTCCTATACAGCCCAGCACTCTGTCCCGAGAGCTAGCACCTCGTCAGAGGGAAGTGACACTCCAGATCCTCCCCCTAGTCCCTGGCTCAGAGTCCCAGGAGAGGCAACCGACACTGCAAAGGCAGGACAAGGGAAGGAAAGAACAAGTCCTCCCAACATAAGTACAGGTGCCAGGTGCACAAGAGAAACTTCAGCCTATGCTTGAGCATGATTGTGCCATTTACTATTCCCAGCCCTGTGAAGACTGGGTTTAGACTCCTGAGAGAAGAGGGAGAACTGTGTAACATACTAGAATGGCGGCATTTCAAGGGATGCCCAAAGCAAGGCATCCCATCCCTCAGTCTGGGCAACACCAGAACCAGGCAAGCCTAGGCTGAGAGCCAGGAAACCTCTCCCCAGCCCCAAGGACTTCTGCTGTACAAACCATCCACGGAGCCGAACTCCTTCACATGAGCACGGGTAAGGATCTCCTTATACAGCACCTCTGCATCTTTGTATTTGCCTTGCTTCAGGTAACAGGAAGCCTGCAACGAAAACAAAACAGCTCCAGCACCACTGGGAAACAGATTAAACTTTGCCCACCACTTGCAGCTATTGCTCTGTTTCTAAGCACCAGACAAGGCTCATGTCTCCCACAGCCGCCCTCCCCAACACCACATGGCCTCTCCCCAGTGCCTCACCAGGTTGTTCTTGGTCTTGGCCACATTGGGGTCATCAGGACCCAGGCAGCTCTCGTAGATCTCCAGGGCCCGGCAGTAATAGTACTCCACCTCATCATACTTGCCCTGGTTCTGGCACAACAGGGCTAGGTTGTTCAGCTGCTTGGCCACATCAGGATGGTCTTTGCCTAGAACCTGGGTGAACAGAAGAAGAGAAGCCACAAAGACTGCAGCAGACTCCTGGAATTACTAGACATCAGAGTTCCCCTAGCACATGTCTATGTCAGACAAAAGCCAAGGTCTGGAGGATCAAGGAGGAGAAATTCCAGCCTCCACCTCCTGGCAGGCCTCTCCAGAATTGCAAACACTGGAGAGACAGGAAAGGTGGTGGCAGAATCAGCATCTGAACAGACTAGATAGGCCCTTGATCTCCCACATGAACTGAAGTAATGGGAGAAAGCCCACAGAGAGAGATGAAAGGAGAAAGAGCATGGGAGACTTGTACCTTCTCACGGATCTCCAGGGCTCGCTTACACAGTGGCTCTGCTTCTTTGTACTTCCCTCTCTTGCCATAGAGAACAGCCAAATTGTTCAAAGTCGCTGCCACCTACAGAGACAGAAGCTTCTCCATGAAACAAAGCAAATTCCAACTGGACCAAACAAGGGGCACAAGCAACACTAACACCGACTGTCCCATTTCCTCCACGCCTGCAGTACTGCTGCTTCTCAAGAGAAGGAGGTCCAGAGATAGAAGGCTGCCCTGGAGGATTGCAGGATCCAAGAGAAGCCAGTTCCTTACAGGCCATTCTGAACCAGCCAGCAGGAAATACTGAATCATTAAACACTGCTGAAACAGTGCCCCAGCAGCACCCAAAGGTGAAAAAGTGACTGAAAGAGGAGAGAGACACTCACCGCGGGGTGGTCTTTGCCTAGAGTCTTCTCACGGATGGAAAGAGCATCATTCAAGAGGTGTGCTGCTTCTTTGTATTTGTTCTGATCCCTGCAGTGCAAAGTCAACCAGTTATTTGACATTTGGACACTACAGCCCAGAGCAGAGAGAACTATGAACAGTGCTCCTTCCACACAGACCCACCCTTCACAGTCCTTTCATTTCTCCATTCCTCCCTGCTTTAGTCAGTCCCTAGTTATAGATGAGAGTTTGGCAAACCAAATAGCCCATCTAGGCCAAAACCCTTCTGAAAGGCAAACAAGAGGAAGCTTGGGGAGCGCCCCAGGATGTGCTGTAAAGGGAAACATGAGATGCAGAAAGCTGTCCTGGCCCAGTCCTGCCCTTCCCACCATGCTCACCTGTACACTAGTGCTAGAATGTTGAGCATGGTAGCCACATCAGGGTGATCATGGCCTGATGTCTTTTCCAGGTCCTCCAGTGCCTGCTTGCAGAGTGGCACAGCCACCTCGTAGCGTCCCTGGGAGGCGTACTGGATGACAAGGTTGTGGAGGGTGCGCAAGCGTGCAGGAATCTCATAACCTCCCTGCTGGGCAGCTGCCACAGCACTGCTGTGCTGGTGGGGCACTGTGGGCACAGAAATAAACACAGCACAGTTGGCCCAGCAGGTTTAAACAGAGACAGGCAGCTCCCTTGCGTGAACAAACACTTACATCCAGGACCATGCTCCTCCTCCTCATTTGGGAATAGGTCATCCAGAGAGTCCTTGGTGGAGTCACCCTCCTTCTCCTCCTGAGAGGATGAGAATCACAAATACTGTCATTTCTCAGCAGAGACAGCAGCAGAGACTCAGCCTGGGCTGAGTTAGTTGCCAAACTCTTGGCCTTTCTGTAGCCCACCAACATACTCAGTTTCTTCTGCTGTCTCTGCCACCATGTCCCCCCACAAAACAAAATCCAGAGACTCTGCCTCATGCAGGCCCCCTTTTGCTACAGGGATGCATAGGTGCATCCATGATGCATGGGATACAGGGTGCATGGGAAGGGGCAGAATCCAGGGCAATGTTATCACATGTAGGCAGTTCTCCCCGTCCAACCTCCCAGACCCACAAAAGCAGCTGCTCAAAAGGACTGGGGCATACCGAAGGCGAGACATCCTCATCGTACTTCTTCAGCTGGTTCATGAACTCAAGGTGTTTCTTCTCCTCCTCCAGCTGAGCCACTGTCTGTTCACTACGCTGCAGCTTCTGCTGGGTGTTGGCGAGCTCATCACGCAGCCACTGGTTCTCCTGGCACAGTCTGCGCACCTGAGCACGCAGCTTCTGCTTCTCTGACTCCACGGCATTCAGATGGTTGGACAATGCCATCATCACCTTGTTAAGAGTCTCAGTCAGTAACAACCACAATTTTGTCTCTCCCTCACATGCATGCTTAGGGTCCACCCATGATAGCCTTCTACACTTAGCCCCTTCCCACCCCTGCAGCTTATGGGAAATGGCCACATATCTACCCTTCCTCTGTCTATCCCAGATAACACCTCAGGGATCACCCACCACTCTCACCTGAGCTTCTCCAAGCCCCAGTTCTATCATCTCCACTGACTTGCGGAGCAGGTTGGATTTCTCATGCACGAGATTGGCTTCTTCATCCTTCTTCAGGCACTTGATGGTCTCCAGTAAGCTGTGCAGGATGGAGTTGTGTTCATTCTTGAGAGCTTCCAGCCCTTGCATTACCAGCTTGGTGTTGGAAATTATCTCCTCTTGGCTCAGCTTGTCCAGTTTCTCCTCCCTTGGGTACACCATGGTGGACATAGTCCTACTCCTGCAGCCCTGCACAGAGACCAAGACAAAACCAGAGTGCCCCAGGGCTGTTTCAGAGAGCCACAACCAGACAAGTATCACAACCTCCTTCAAGCAGTCAGAAACAGCATTTAACTGATTGCCTACTCTAAGCCTTTCTTCTTCATCTTCCCCTCTCCTTTTGGCAGCAGGCAGCTGTCAGGGCATGTGCCTCTGCTCTTGTGGCTGGGAGTGCTGGCAACCAAGGCAGGTGACCCACATGGATAGGAGACAAAAAGGCTACAACCAGTGATGACCTCCAACACCTCCACACTCCCAGCAGGGGGAAGACTAATTTAGCTTCTATTTAAGAGCAGAGATTTGTGGTTAGCAGAGCTGGGGTTGCAATCTATACACCTTCTGCCCACAGAGCACTGATGCAGAGAGGCTGTCAGAGCTCAGCACCTCTTCTGTCTCCAGCAGGGAACACAAAGTAGAGGGATGCCAGCTCAAAGCCTTCCGCTTCCTCAAAGGAAAATCTCCTAGAAGAGCATCTCAGATAGGGAGGCATCAGTGGTATTACTGCGCCAAAATAATGCCCGACCAGAAGAGTACATCCTGAAGATCACAGCCTCAGCACAGAACTGCCATTGTGGCACTGAGGGACATGCCACCAGCAAGACACACCACACCACTGCCTGACTGGGGAAGCTCACATACACCAACAGCTACAGTCACGCTAACATAATCCTTTTGCAGGTGTTGATTTGAAACACCAACAGGTTTTCCATCTTCATTCACCCTGCTGCCACCCCAAGGACTCCTAAAGATGAGCTAAGAACTCTGTACTCCTTCCCTGTCCTGCTCCCCCCAGATATACAGTGGGAAAGTACCCAGCTACTGCTTTTGCACAGGGACACCAAGCACCACAACCCACAATGTTAGTGTGGCTGCAAGATCCCTGCATACAAAGTCCAGGAGCTAAAGAAACACAATAGGCCAGCAGCTGAGACACAGAAGAGACAGGCAAGACCCCTCATTGCAAGACCCTGGCTGCTGTATGACTCACTCATCTAGCACAGTCACAGCCTCTTCCACCAGCTGGGCCACCCCAGCAGCCTCCTCACATTACTCAACAGTAAAGCCGCCTCCCACTTTGCTATCAGGTCACCCCAAAACCAGCCTCCTGCAATGCCCTGCACAGGCAGCACCTGCCCAGCAGCACCTCCTTGCTACCTGGAGCTGGCAGAGGCCTCTGCAACCTGAGTGCCCAGGGCCCTGCTGCCAGGAAGCTGGCAAACTGCCCAGAAGCTACACAGGAGGAGGTGAGAGGATTGCTGCCAGCAGATCCGCCTTTGACCTCCTGCCGGACCCACCTCTGCATGGTTTGAGCTCTTTGTTCAGCAGCTGCCTTGTGCCTGTTGTACTGAGAGAACAGAAATATTGTCCCAGCTACAAGAACAGAGCAAGTAGAGCTCCCCTTTCTGGCAGGGCTCCTCTCCTCCTCACCTGTGCACCCTGCCCAAGTGCCAGGGAGCTACTGCGGAATGGGCGCTGAGCAATAGAAAGGCCCAGCTTCCTCCTCACTGCAGCACTTAAAGTGAAGATGACAAACAGCACTGGGACAATTGTTTCAAGTACACACATCTCATTATCAGACCCACTCCTTTCCTCTTCTTTAGCCTCACTTTACCTCCAGCTGTTTTATAGGCCTGAACTCTCAACTTCTTCTTTCGTTTCTGTTCCCATGAGGTACATCCATCCCTCAGGAAGGGGAGCAAACCCTCAACACACAGTGGAGACCTTACTGAACCCTCAAGCAGGGCAGAAACACCTCGTGTCTCTTGAAGACTGGGTTTCTGTTCACACCTCTGAACAAGAACTGAGTCATCCTCCCCCAAAGTCACAATCCTGACATCACGTTCATTTCATGATCTAGCATCAGCACCAATTCTGAATCATACTTCACTGTATCTTTCACTTTTGGGTATCTGTCATGCTCCCAATGCAGTTAACCCTGCACATTGGGCATTTTATACCAAAACAGTCTCATCTGGACCATGACACACGCCAGTTTGCTTTGGAGAAGGCTATATGATAAGAACAGCACGAAAAACCTTATGAAGGTCAAGATAAAGGACACAGACTATTGTTTCAAAAGTAAAAATAGGCTTGCTGAGAGTTGGTTGCAACTGATACCCTGTCTTCCAAACTCATTCTCCAGAATATGGCAGCTAAGCATATCTGGTCAACAGTTCCCCTGGTTACTCTTTTTCCCACCTTTCTGACACACCTGGAGTGGGATCAAGTGCTCAAGCAATAAGGAAAGCCCTGCTTAATGCAGACTTCTGCAGGTGAGCACAACTCAGGAAGAAATGTGCAATAACTCCAATCCCTAGAGAAAAGAGGTTGTCAGCCCAAAGGGTGTTAGTGCTGCTTCATCTGGCCAAGCACTCTTGTGCTCTAAAATAGGTTCAGACAGCTTCCCAGGAAGGCTCAGCATGCACTTACCTCTTCCACAGAACCCAAAGTAATAACTGCTAAAGGGTTAAATGGCCCATCACTGGTTCCAATTTAGAAGGAAAGACCGTGACTCACTTGCAAACAGGGAAACTGGCAAGTGGCGGTTCTCTGGACCACAGGCAATGCTCGGGACACAAGAAGATACCCAGTAATGGCCTCATACCCAATGTACAAAAAAATAGAACTCTTCTCTGAAACTCTCACAGCTGAGCAGTACAAGTCCCTGTGTGTACTGGGCCAACTGTGAAATATTGCAGCATTACTTATGCCCATACAGACATAAGTGTTATAAAGTTATGGTGCCATCTTTAAGAAGTGTAATACAAACACCTTGGGAAGAGGAACATGTTACAGAATAAAAAGCCACCAGACCTCACACCTTGCTAGGTAACAGAGTCAGAAAGACAAGACCCAGATCCATAGAAAATCAGCCTCATTAATTCCACTGTAAACATAACTGCTCCTCAACTGTGAAACTGCTGTGTGTTAAACCATCAGCATCTCTACTACAGCAACGCTTTCTTCAGCCCTTCCAGCAGAAAATGTTCACGCGTTTCACAGTCCTCAGAATCAACTTGTTTTTTGAAACTGCAAAGACTTCAGACAGAGAAGAAAAAATAAACCAAAGCATCCTGATCCACAGCATACAAGACTCATCCTACCCTGCAACTACATCCTCAGATCCTTCAAGACATCCCAAAAGAGGATTTTCTTCTCTCACAGGCTGTGCAAACATCTGTAACAACCTCAGCCTTTCTCCCCATTGGTGACATCCTGGAAGCATAGCTCTGCTAGGTACCAACATGTTTCCATGTTCAACAGTGGACAGAGGATAGTCCAGACTGGACAGAGGGTACAAAACCTAAGAACAACACAAAGCTGGTCAACAAGAAAACAAAGAGGAGACTGCTGAGAAGTCTTTTGAATGCTGCTACCTCTTATACAGCAAAGAAAAGCAACAAACACCAGTGGGAGCTGACTTAACCTTCCAAAGCAGGAATTCCCCCCAGAGATCTTATTTCTAGTTCTTCCCAGTGCCGTCAGGTCTATACACTCAGTGCTCAGCCCTCCAAAGAGGAAACACTCACTATGGCAGCCAATGCCAAGGTCAGGCAGGCTGAGGCTGCTGTATATGCACCCTTCCTACTCCTTCACATTCAGTAAGGGGCACTGGGTGTCCTTTACCCAGGCAGAAAAAACACTCAGAGATTTTCTGCAGAGAGGAAGGGACACATCATGGTTTGCCTTTTGCAGGGTGGGGCTCAGACTGGAGTAGGAAGAAAGAATGCTTTTCCACCAAGCTCCTTGAGAGATGGAGAGCCCTGTTCCCAGCTTATCCTGCTGCAGTCCTCATGGACCTGCAGGTGTCCCAGCCCAGGTCTCCACCCGCAAGTTTCCGCTCTAGTTGTCACATCTTCCCTATTTACAGAGAGCTGCTAGAATAGCCTGCCTTTCCGACAACACCCATCTCATCTCCCCTCTTCTGCTCCCGTTTGGAGGACAGAGGAGGAACATGCGTGCACTGAGCTTTGTGGCAGCTGCAGCAATCAGCCGGGAATCCATCAGCAAGTACATCCTGCCAGGCAAAAACCTTTCTCCTGTATTCAAGTGCATAACCACAAAATCGCTAAGCATCAGCAGTTTCAGCAGCTCATTTTTCTGCCTCCCAAAACTGCTCCCACATGCGAGACCTTTAAGAGGAAAGAGCTGGAAGCTTCACTGCTTCTATCTTCAACCCACAACATCTACAAGGATGCCAGATTAAATGGGTCCAAGTGAATCTTAAAGCTTAGGTTATGATGCCTAATGCTAGAAGACTATGGGGGTGGGGAGCAGCACCAGGAAAATCAGGAATCAACTACAATAGGACAGAGATCTCAGGTCTAAAAACAACTCAGATAATGCAGTTCATCACCTCTGTGCATGCACAAGACAATAACTGCAGCATTCTTCAAACTGCATTTAGTCTGCCAGCACTTTCTGTAAAGAAGTGAAACAGATTTTCAGCAGCAAATTCTTCCGTAGGAGAAGGTGATCTGAGGATATAAGTGATGTAAGGTAGTTGCAGAAAGACAGCTAGGTTCTGGAAAAAAGCATCCTGTGGAAAAGAGTATGTCTGACCCACAGCAAGGCCACATTTGGGAGATAGACAGCAATGGTTTCCATAGAAATGAAAACACAGGGCATTGTCTTGCTTCATCATAATTATCCCAGTCTCCTCCTGAGAGACATGCTTTTGCCACCTGGAGAAACAGCAAGGTTATAAATTTGGGAAGCAAAACGACTTGATAAAAGTAGGGAGGGTTTTTTGATGTGTTTGTTTTTCCTTGGATCTCTGCCAGCTCATTACCGTTGAGCAACAAAGGGTCTCTGGAATGACTGGTTGACCTCCAATGAAGCTGGAAGTGAGACTGCAAATAAGACAGTAAGTTCTCACTCCTAAGGGGCACTGCAACAAAACTAGACCTAATATTTTGGATGCTGAAAAATAATATAAAAGCAGTAAAAAGCAAACAGAGTGACAAAGTTACAGCCACCACAGAGGCTGTGTCATGAGCACAAATTTTCTTATTTTGATACCACAGTGTCAGAAAGCAAACAGATTGTAGGAGATTACAGTCAGCTGTGCAGAGCCTCTGAGGCTTCCACTGCACAGCCAGGGCACACTGACACTGCCAGGAACATCTGCACACTGAAACACCACTGCTAGAAGAGCCACTGTACTCAGGGTCACCATCCCAGGCCACCTGGAGCAGAACCACAGAAAAGGGACAAACTGGTGCTGCTGAGCTCCACACCGAAGTTGGTATTTCCACAGATGCTCTAATATGGGCAAAACAAGAAATGCTGAGGTTCATGTGAGGCACAGAGCAGGAATTGTCCTCTTCGATGCTTGTTACTGTTGCCAGAAATGCCTGGATGCTCCCTTAGAGCGTCTAGGAACACACAAAGAGGACATCAGGAGTCAGCATCCTGGGAGGTCATACCTAACATATCTCTGAGCTTCGATTGTAAAGTCACAAGATTCCACTCAAACTCTAATGTCCATAACATTCTCTGCCACCAGTTGTCTCATAAGTTTCTACATCCTACTGCCAAAAAAGGGGACACCTAGAGTCCTGTCTTCTGCTCAAAGTTCTTTCCCAATGTCAGCCTGCAGTGCAGACCGTTCTTGCACTGCAGACAGTCTACAGAGTTAAACCAACACACAGATGACTTCCAAGTACTATAGAGGGACTGTTGTGTTGGAACTTTTCCCTCAATAAGAGTCTGGCTTGAGTATTACTTGAATAGTACTACTTGGAATGAACGCTTAGAGATCTCTGGTCTATTCCCTCACTCAAAGCAGGTATCTGATCAGGTATCTGTGTCTAGCTAAAGGACCCATCTCCCAAAAGGGAGATCCCACAAACTCTTCAGGCCCTGTACCATGACTTAACCATCCTCTGGATGGTTAAAAAAGAATGGAGGAAAAAAAAAAAAAAAAAGGTAAAAAAATTCTTCATCTGAATTCCTCAGATAAACTCAATGCATTTGCCTTTAGTGAACACCTCTTCAGGACAAAGGAGCAAGGCACCACAGCACTACAGCACTAGAAACTGATCCAAGGCCCAGAGAAAGGGAATGCAGTGCCTTTTTCCTTCCAGCAGGGTTCTGCAAGGGTTTTTGGATTCCCAAAACAATCCACCTGCAGCAACAGAGCATGCAGTAAATACAAGAAGCTGTTTCCTATGCCCCAAAACCAGGACTTTCCTTGGCATCCAGACATCTTCTCACATGGCTTTGAAGCCAGTCTCCAAGCCCAGAAAGACCAGTTTCCCCAATCCTCAGAGTCATGCATAACACAGTACAAGCTGACTGCCTGTCCGGGGGATAGGGAGGGCTGCCCAGGGATCAAGACAGGATTGCTTCTTTCAGCAGCTGACACATGCCAGCTCTAGCTGACTGTGAACCTCTGGGGTTTTTTCCTAGATACTGGAAGGCTTGTGCTGGGAATGTCTGTGCTAACCAGCAGTCTGCAAGAGGCCCAGGGGACGAGGACTAAGGAACTAGATTTGCAGCTCGAGTGGAAGCGCTCTCCCGCAAGGAGACTGGAGCTAAAGGGAAAGAGCATGAAGGGAGTCTCTCAACACCCCTCTCTGTCTCAAAAGTTTCAGCTCCCTACCACCCACAATCTCTAATAAAACACACAGCGTCACATAATCTTCCTGAGACCCAGGGCAAGGTGCTGATAAGGGGGCTTTACAAGGACTTGGCCATAGTGACTCATGTTCACACCACTACAGAAAGAACACAGGAGCTTCCCATACCCTCCCACCTTCCAGCCCACAGCTGGAAATGGACAAGACAAAAGGTACCGCTGTTTGTTCTGACTGATCATAGCAAGCAATTCCTGTATTATCAAAGCATCATGCAATTCCAATACGGATATGCACTCTGAGGAAGACAGAGCAGGTAGTTTGGTAGGCTTTGTATCAGGTCATTCACTCCTTTCAAGACCAGAAAGGTCTCACTCCATTTGTTAATACCAAAGAATATAGATATTGGAATCAACAAGGGTTAAAAAAAACAACAAAACCCTACAAAACAACCAACAACAGCAAAACGAACCAACTAAAAAAAACCCAAACAAACCAGCACTGATTTTTGCCATTAGCAGAAAAACACTTTGCTCTGGTTGTATATCATATTGTTTACACCCCCCCCAAAAAAAATCCAAGCTTTTTGGCTGGGAAAACCTGCACCTTCAAGCAGGCCATTGGAATGAGAACAGCAGTCATCACCACTCCCACCAGCAAGCTTATGCTGGCACCTCCAGATCAGCTGATAAGACCTTGTTTTTAAACTTGTTCATGTCTGCAGCAGCTCACCAAATCCATTCTGCATCTGCTGCGCCTGGGACTACAGCGAAACACCATTAAAACATGTTTCCAGGCTAGTGGAGACAAGAGCTAAGCAGCTGGAACGGAGCCAGGGCAAGCATCTCCTCAGCTTCAGAATCTGATTGGGAGTCGTGCACTATAAAAAACAGAGCGAGAGCCATTACCTTGCCCTGACAGCATGAAGCAGTATTAAAGCAGGCAGAGTAATTCCCAGGAGCCAGTGCCTTTGCAGGCATCTGTCTAATGTGAGGGCTGTGCACTGGATGTGCCTGAGCAGTACAGGAGATAACCAGGATGCAGATGGGGCCAGCAGGAGCTCTGGAGCCGCTCTGTGCGCCCTGAAGGGCTCTGGTGTGCCCACGCTCCCCCCATGGTGTGCGTGGGGCACCCGCAAAGGCCAGCTGCAGGCTGCAAGACTGCGCTACTATTTCCACAAGCAAACAGGTTTTGTAAACCGCAGCAAGGCAGACAAAGTCACAAGGACAAACCTCTACCTGCATAACAAGCAGAAGATCTGTTCTATCTCTGGCTCCCCTGTCTGGCTAGAGCTCTTTGAGGAGCTACATGGCTCTTTCCCAGCAAATTAAGCATTTATCCAGCAGCTCTGCCAAGGTCAGAATTTTGCCACGTGTCCTTTGAGCCCCAAGAGCCATTTTGGTATTTGGGGTTAATGCTGTTGTTTCAACCTGGACATTCCTCCAAAACAGCAGATGAGAGAACACATGCTTCCTGCTCCTTCTGCCAATTACAGCAAAGCACAGCCATGTTTATTTACCCTGTGTCTGAGCTGGCCAGATCTTTGACCTCATGTGTGCTGAACACCACCCTCTTTCCTCACAAGCACAGGCAGGGGTGTTTTCCACATCTCCAAGGTGGCATGGCAGAGAGGAGACCAAGGGCACTAGAGGAGAGTTCCATGCCCGAGCATGGAACTGCAGCAGAGTGCCAGATGCCAGCTATGCAAGACGCAGGGAAGCCTGCTGTTTCTGGTAATATGCTGCTGCCTCCCACCATTGTGCAGATTTCTCCCGGCTGCCTGGCCAGAGCATTCTACCGCAGCACCATCCCCCAGCTCTTCTTCAGACACCTCCTCCCAAGCGCATCCTCTCCTTCACAGAAGCTTACCAGCGATTCCCCCAGCCCACCACTTTTGGTAGGGTGCACCTCCATTTCGGAGAAGCTTAGGAAGCAGTTAATTAATGAAAAGACGGTTTGGGGCGATACAAGGCTCTTTGAGAGCTACTGCTGTATGACCTGCCTCCGTCATCGTTTCTCCGGCTTTGTCTGGCAGCAGGAGGCACGCCCGCTCCGTATCCTTGAAACAACAAGCCGGAGAAACCCCTTCACCCCTCAGAACCACCATAGAGAAATTCTGCGCCCACCTGGCTAAGTGAAAACTTCACAAGTGAAAAAAACTTTTCACCAGCTCTGCCTGAAACTGCGCATCAAAGCGGTCCTTTGTTCCAGGACGGCTGGGCACCCTGCCCGTCTCAGTCACCGGATGGGAATGTCCCCCGCCCCACGCCGCAGAGGAGCGGTACCTGGCTGCCTGCAGCGGCTCGTCCAGCGCCGGTGCTCGCGGAGGCGGCGGAGGAGCGGCGGCCGCGGCGCTGCGCGGCTCCGTCTGCCGCGC